GATTGCTAGTGGGATGCAAAGGTTCTGTCTTCTTCAACCAATATCAGTCCTTCTTAGGCTGATTGTGGTGACACTCACAATCCTAGCACTCTGGGAGGCTAACCTAGGAGTATCTAAAGTTTGAGCCTAGCCTGTGCAGCTTAGCAAGTTGAGACCCATCTTAAAAAATGAAAAAGATTAGAGGTATAATATAATATGAAGATTCAATTCTCAGTACCACAAATAATAACAGTAATGATAACAATCCTCCCTAGAGCACTATTTCCCTTGGCTTCACCAAAATTTTACTCAAAACCTTCCCAGTGTTACCTATCTTTCCTGAGAAGCATCTTTTACCTATAGTTAGTGGAAATAATACTAAGGTATTATTGTACAAAGCTATAGTTCCATGATGCCATACAGGGTTTACTTAATATTACTAGGCAATTAAGTATTTAGGATATTTCAATTTTCATTTAAATTTAAAATATTAAAGCAATTTTATGCTTATAATTAAAATTACAACTATCATTTGGTCTTCTTAAAAATATAGTAATTGGGAATTGCATAGAGCTATGTTCAAACCCTCTCAATACCACTTCCTGGCTATGTTGTCTTTGTGAGTCATTGCATTTCAGATTCTTTTTTTTTAAGATAGGGTCTTGCTATGTAGTTCAGACTGGCCTTGAACTTAGCAATCTTCCCCTGTTGGGATTATAGTCATGCATCATCATGCCCAGCAAATCATTGCTTTTGAAATGTTTATTCAGATATTAACGGAGATAAATACCTACTTTTGCAACACTGTTATGAGGATTTGAAATATCATGTACAAAAAAACAAAGATTAAAACAAAACATAAAGCTGGGTGTGGTGGTACATGCCTATAATCTCAGGACTTGGGAGGGAGAGGCAGGAGTTCTGCCATGAATTCAAGGCTGGCCTGAAATATATAGTGAGTTGAAGACCCGTCTGAGCTACATATCTACCCTCTCACAAAAACAAAAAATAAATAAATAAAAAAGAAACATCATAAGAAGAAACATCATGCACAAAGGGCTTAGCACACTGCCAAGTATAGAATAGGTGACACTATAGTATAATACTTACTCTGGATAGTTTGATGAACACTAGGTTATTGATTTTTGTAGGCCAACCTACTCCCCCACTCCTGCAAGGATTTTTGTAGGCCAACCTACTCCCCCACTCCAGATGCTGATCCTTCTTTGTGAGGTTTTTCAAAAAAAGTAATCTTTGTATTTTTTCTCTTATTTTTAGGCAGTGGGCTATTATTTATCACCACTACCACTGAGGCTGATTCTAAAAGTAGCTTCTATTTCCTATCTTGCCTAACAGTTCGCTGCTTCTGCTCTGTTATACACTGGAAATCAAATGACCAAATTGTCAGTGTTTCAATTAAGAATAAAAAAGTTCGAGCAGGAGGCTAAGTGATTCTCTTTAGGGAAAATATACATACCCTGTTAGATTATTATAGCACAGTCTGATAGCTGATCTTGGACAATTTAAATCAGCAATGGTGAACTTTTTAGAGAGAAGTACTTGAGTACAACACAAAACTCACTTATTTATCTCAAAATACCCAAAATGCAATTAAATCTGAATACTAAGCTTTTAGTTTATAACAACCAACTCATACATTAATATCTTTCATCTTATAAAGAAAAATGAGTAACGTGTGCCATAGATTTGCCACCACTGATTTCAATTATTTTCATGATCCTAAATACATTCTATATAATCAAAAAACCACATAAATGAGAGAGTGAGCTATTACTATACAGTGTAGAGTTAATGATGGGACAAAAGAGGGTTGAATCTTAGAAACACATTAGTAACCAGAAGGAACAAATATTTAGCTATTATTCTTATTCTTGTAAGTTACCAATTTGTCAAAATGGTAGGAAGGTAATATATTGAGCATCTATTACCTCAATGTTTGAACTGCTTTGAGAAGAACTATAATATCTATTTATAGAGATGTTTAGAAAGGCTAAAGTAACTTATTACAGCTGAAAAGTATCAGAAACAAAATTTAAACTACAAGGTGTAGTTCAAAAACTTTTAAAAATTACTACAGTAAAAGATACATTGTCAATAATCATTGTCAAAATACTCCTCACTTTAAAACACTTATCCTTCTTTGCACTTACTGAAGCAGTTCTGTAAGTTCTCTTTTGTTTGTGTTGTATTGCCTTTGGTTATGTTGTCATGGCTATCTCAAGCCAAAATATTTACCTTTCACAGATTTTTGACTTGGGGGAAGATCCAGAAGCTGCAAAGTGACATATCTAGTGAATAACACCACTGTAGGATAAATTTCTGTAATGTTTTTACAAGTCTGCCTTTCTGTTGGATGGCACTCAACAACAAAATTCACCAAATTTTGATCATATCTTATAAAGACACTTATGAAAGAGGACATCAAGAATTGTTTCAGAAAGAAACAAGAATGATGAGATAAAAGAGTGTCTGAAGCAAAGGGGAATATTTTCAGGGAGATTAATGACAATGTTTCTTTTAATGTAATACCTTTTAATATTCCATATTCATATTCCATAAATTTGGAAGTATTTTTTTCTGTCTTTTTGAGACAGAGTTTACGATGCAGTTCAAAGTGGCCTTAAACTTATTTTGTAACCCAGGCTGCCTTCAAACTTGCAATGATCCTCCTGTCTCAGCCTCTTGAGTGCTGGGATTATAGGCAGGCGCTTATGCCACTGAGCTATATCCTGATTTGTAGTACTGAGATTACAGGCGTGAGCCACCACTCTCTGCCTAATCTGTTTCAAAGCTCAGTGTTCTTTTACAATAAGGTGACTTGTAGAATAGACTTAATCTCCTTCTTGCACAAAATGTATTTCTTCAAAATCAGCAATAAACAATGGGAAAGTGAATAGAAACAGAATACTATATACAATCACAGCTATATATATATATATATCTCGAGCTCTTAGGAATTAATTTTAATTATATGCTTTTATGGAAAAAAAACCCAATTCTACCAAGACATAAAGGAAGAGAACTGAATAAACGGAAGAGGTAAACTATGATGTTTAGATGGTAATATGCACCACCATAAAGGTTGTCAGCATTCTCCAAGTTAATCTATAAACTGAATACAATATCAAAAAAGCCAACAATATTTTGGTGGTACTGAACTAATTCTAAATTATAAACAAAAGTTCATGAGTTCAAGAATATGCTGCACAATTCTGAAACAAGTTAAGGATGCAAATTTGCCCTAACTGATATTAAGACAAATTATAAACCTTTAATAATTAAAAGAATAAGACACTGATTAGGGATCAAATAGGAAATAGAGCAAAATAGAATCCAGGAATAGATTCATATATATATGGGAACTTAGTACACAAGAAGATGATAACAGAAGTCAGTAGAGAAAGAAGGCATCATTTAATAAGTGGAACTAGGAAATTTATTAAAGAAAATAAAATTTGATCATTTTTTTCAGCATACTCACTATATTGCTTCCTATTATGGTTTGAAAACTGGTGGTCAACTTAATGCCAGCTGGATTACATCAGCATGCATTGAGAGAAGATGCTCCACCTGAGGAGGGTTGTCAGGATAAATAGGTGGAGAAGAAGAGCGGTGGAGAGAGGGATTGAGGCATTAAGGAGGCATTGTGTGTTCTACTACGAGTTGCTGTCTGAGCTGTTGGTTCTCCTGGAGAAGCTTTGGTCTTCACATCGAGCATTGCTTCCTGGTTCCAGAGGGGAAGACATGTGCTGCCTGGTTTCCAGGATGAACTCCTTACGCTGCTTCCTGGCACATACCCGACTGTGCTTGTCGTCGGAAGAGCTCGGGGTTTCCATGTCGATGAGGACAGCTGTGGTTCCTTTCAGGACAGCCCCGCTCTTTGTTGTGAGTGTGACTTCTCGGCTCCAGTGTAGAACCCTCATCCCACTAGCACAGCTCCTTCATCCTGCTGGCATAGACTTTCTGGCTTCCACCACTGACCCTTGGGTCTTCCTGGCACGAATCCATAAAAGGGACTGGCGTGAGTCCTTCTTGTGGGCTCTGGCCTTCCAGTTGGACTCGTGGAGGTGTTGTCCTGAGCTCTGGGTTTTTATCTGGACTCATATAGGACACTGCCGTGGGGTTTAGACTCTTGATTAAATAATCTATGTCTTTGGTATTGCAGATAGATTTCCTGCATTCTCCTGTGTTAACTTTCGGTGACCATTATAAAAATATTATAAACTCCATGTTCTGATCTGAATTGTTCTCTGTGTCCAACCCCTGACTACAACACTTCCTGACAAGGAAGACACTATAAAATTATAAGAAAATGTAGAAAACTATCTTTATGACCCAGGGATAGGGAGAATTTATTACATAGGATCACAAAGGTAGTACATATCCTAAAGGTTGTTCAATGGATTTAACAAAACAAAAATAAATCCCAGTGATCCTTGCCTGTAATTCCTGTTACTAAAGAGTTGAGGGAGGAGGACTGCTCACCTGTGTAACTTAGTGAGATGCTTTCTCAAAATTAAAAGGGCTGGGGATGTAGCTGAGTGGTACATACGGTGCACTATATGTAAGGCTCTGAATTCAATCCATAGTACTGCAAAAATCTCCCAAAAACACAAAAAAAACCCAAACAAACAACAATCCACAACTACAGAACTGTGAATGAATATACAAATGTGTAAATAAATATATGAAAGATATCTTTAAAAGATACACATCAAATATCCAAGAGTGGATGACTAGATATGGAATGGAGAAGGAAACTGGATTTTGAGGACCGACTCAGAAAAAAACAAATGAAGGGTCATGCATGGACTGATGATAAAGTATTATAAACTGAAGAGATACCTTAACAATTATTTGTAATATTTGAAGTGTAAGCCAAACATAAAAGAAAAATCTTCCCTTCCTGAAATATCATAAAGACAATTATTTAAATGAAACGTCAAAAAAGTAAAAGCTAGAGGAACTGCAAATGTTCATCGTCCTGTCACATGGCTTACCGGAGAACACAGCACATAAGTAGCAGATGGGTAGGGACATTAGCTGGATTGAGCATACTGGGTGTGTCTGACTTCATACATGCCAGGAAAGCCCGCATCCTTCGGTTCTTGTCCTCAACTGCTTTGCCCAGCCAGAGCTTCTTGAGGTTTGGGCAGGTCCATTCCCGAAATGTCAGTGCAGACACCAGCTCAGGAGTTTGAGGTGACTTCCCTTTATAGGCAGACCATTCTTTAAGAATCACTGAAGGAACTAGAAAACAGATATGGAGGAAAAGTAGGCTGTAGAACATCTGACCATTTCAATAGCTAGCTATTACTAACAGAATCTATCACATTTCAGTATCTTCCTTTGTTTTTTTTTTTTTTTTTTTTTTGAGACAGAGTCTCACTATGTAATTCAGGTTGACGTTGAACTCACTATGTAGCCCATGCCAGTCTCAAACTCATGGCAATCTTCTTGCACCAGCCTCCCAAGTTCTGGGTATACAGGCATGTACCACCACACTTAGTTTCTTCTAAGTTTTTGTTATTGTAATTTTTATCATTATCAGTAGTAAACACCAGTTGCAAGCATTTATTAGGTAGTGGAACGTTCTAAGTATTTTGCATATATTATCTCACTTAATCTTTGTTAAAAGACCATGAGAGGGACATATTATGATGACATTATAAAACAATATTCATTTTTCAGAAAAAAAATCAAAGTCCAGTATCATAGAATTTGTAATTACATTGAATTTAAGTAGGTATACCAGGCTAGGCAAAGAAGTCTAAGAAGCATTATGTGAATATTTGGTTTCATGACAGACTAAGGGATTTCACAAAATTCTCAAAACATCAACATGCTGGCACGGTTGATTCATGCCTACAATCCCAGTTACTCAACAGCCTTAGGCAGATGGATCACTGGAGCCCAGGAAATTAGGGTCAGTTCAGGAAATGTAGCTAGACTTTTATCTCAAAAAAAGAAATCATAACAATAACTCCTCCAAGTCAAACAGTTTTTAGATTTAAAAAGATAACAGACCAGAAAAATATGGCTTCTCGGGCTTCTAAACTATGGTGATAAACTTATAAAACAGTGAATCTGACAGGTGTGGTGGCACATGCCTATAATCCCAGCACTCAGAAGGCTGAGGCAGGAGGAATCACCGTGAGTTCAAGGACAGCCTAGACTACATAGTTCAAGGCCAGCATGAACTACATAGCAAGGCCCTGTCTCAAAAAAAAAAAAAACCTCAACTAGATCCCCAGTCCTCCTCATTTAAATTTTGAAATAAGAGCTCACTAAATTGGCCAGGCTGGACTCAAAATTTATGATCCTCTCAAGTAGCTGGAATTACAGGCACGTGCTATCACATGTGCCTTTTGGGTTTCTTTCATTTCAGATGCTTACTGTCTACTCAATCACTCAAATTAGAGATTTAGTAATCATGCCAGAGTCCTCTTTCTCATTAACCCCCAAAACATATTTTTTTTACCAGGGTCCTGATGTTCCTAACCCAGTCTCCCTTCCTCCAGTCTCCTCTTCTCTAAAACAACAAATAATGCAATAGTCCAGAGAGCACTTTTCACTTGACAGAAGTCTCCATCCTATTTGTTCCTATGTTCATCCGGTTTGGTTTTTCTGAAACCCATGCTTCACAGCCATCAGAGTGCTCTTTAAAACATCTTTTTTGCAGTACTGGGGAGCAAAACTCAGAGCTCAAGCATGGTTGTTGAATGCTCTATCACTAACCTCTATCCAGTGTCAAAAGTGTTGTTTTGTAAATAATCTTCTTTGATTGAAATCATTATAAATTCATAAGAAGTTGCAAAAGCAACAGGAAGTTCTGTGTATACATTACCTAGTTCCTTCTACTGGTTACATCTTAAATAATTATGACACCAAAGCCCAGGAATCGATATTGTAACAATATGTGTGTGTAGTTCTACCATATTTGCTTGATAATAAGACCTAAACTAGAAAATAAGCCCTAGCGTGATTTATCAGGATGCTTGTAATATAAGCCATATACCCCAAAATAAGCCCAAGTCAAGACCTGCTTCACACACACAGTGACCCTCTATAAATCCAGGGAACTGGGTGCCAGAGTCCCAGGGCTGAGGGCATAGAAGAGGATTTCCAACAGACCCGGGGGAAGCCTTAGAATAAAACTCGAAACACTAGAAACACAGAAATATAGGAAAATGACAAAACGAAAGACCATCAGTCAGACACATTTAGTACATGCACAAGGGTTATATATAGTGAGCCCATGATGGACATATTGAATTATAAAGTATAATTAAACATAAATAATATTGACAATATTTAAAGCAAATGATGATATAAATTATAATTAAGCATTTGTAAATACCCAAAAGTGCCTTGGGATGAGAGGTAAATACCAATGGAAACAGATGAACTCAAGAGTCATTGTCAAATAACCAACTAGAGTACAAACCCCATGCACAAATAATGTGCATAATTAATAATGAACAGGCATGCTTGAGTCTAATATGAATCTTCATAATTCAATACTCTGCATGGTATAACTGATGTACTTAATGCACTTATGTGAAACAATTATTTTTTAAAATTTTGGTGCTTATTATTTTTTGTCACTTCTCTATGAACCATTATTCTTGCTGCCACTTCCTTCTCGTAAGTCTTCAATTGACACTTGACATAATGGAAACTGAAGGCTATCCTGCAAGAGGTTGAGACCTGGGTGAAGAATTCATCTGTGAAAATCACTGACAGCTGCATTTCCAATGCACTACAAGCAAGATACACAGATAAGAAGTTCTGGTTTATGGAGAGTTCTACTGCTGGACATAAGAGATTGGGGCCAATGGTTCTATAGCAAATGGAGTCATAAGAAATTCAGACCAGAATTCTGGGTTTGGAGAGTTATGAAAATGTTTCTGAAAAAGATAACAACTGTACCTGAAAAAAATGTAATATTTATACATGAGTGTTTACTTTTGTATATGAATAGATATAGACTGTTGTACATGAAAAAATGACATTCCCCTAAAAATGAGCCCTGCACATCTTCTGAGCAAAATAATTTAAGACTGGTCTTAAATTTTCAGGGAACTATGGTATGTCATGCCGATCCATGTAGCCACATCTGCAATCAATATAAAGGACTAGCTGGGCATGGTGACACTATGATCTCAGCACTCAGAAGGCTCAGGCAGGAAGATCTGATGTTACAGACCAGCCTGGACTACACAGCACATTCAAGGGTTATATATAGTGAGATCCATACCAGACTAGACTAGACTAGACTAGACTAAAGACAGAAAACTAGCTAAGTGCAGTACTGTATGCCTGTAATCCTAGCTACTTGAAAGGTTGAAATGGGAGGATGGGTTAAGTTTGACAAATTTCAAACCAGCCTAGGTAACTGAAGAACAAAGAACCTCTCATAAAAAAATAAATGAATAAATAAACAGTTCCATGACCATAGATTTCTAGTGGGCTGTACTTTACAGTCACATCAAATACTTTCTAGCACCATCCTTACTCATGGTAACATTAATTTATACTACATTTTACAATTTTGTCATTTTCAAAATGTTACAAAAACGGAATCAGACAGGATAGAATTTTGTGACAGGCATTTTCACACAGAATAATAACCTTGAAGGTGGGGTCTGCTGGTGCATTTCTGTAATCCCAGAATTTGGGAGGCTGAGGCAGGATTTAATGTCATGATTTTGAGTTCAGCCAGGGCTACAAAATGAGGTTTTGTCTCCAAAGAGGGGAAAAAAGTCCTTGAGATTGATCCATGTTGCTCAAGTGAACTACATTTTTTGTGGCACTGATGTATCATAGCTTAACCACTCACCTACTGAAGGATATACAGTTTGGAGCTATTGAGAATAAAGCTATTGGGGCGAGGGAAATAGCTCAGTGGCATAATGCCTGCCTGAATTCAATTCTCTGTACAAAAAAAAGCTATTTTGCATATATGAGGCCCTAGATTTAGTCCTCAGTATTACCAAAAAAAACACAATATTATATATAAATAAATAAAAGTAAAGCTTTTCGTGTTCTCCTAGCATGCACAAGGCCAGGGTTTGATCCTCAGTGAACAAAGAATAAAAAGCTGTTTCATGAACAAGTTTCTACATAAAAGTAAGCCTTCATTTTCCTGAGATAAATACCCAAGAGTGTAAGTACTAGGATGTGCAGTAAGTCTATTTTTACTTTTGACAGAAACTCACAAATTACTTTCGAAACTGTCAGTGCCTTTGTACTGTACATTCCACCAGCAATTTACAAAAGAGCTAGTTTTTCTGTACCCGCCCCCGGCATTTATTACCATTATCACTATTACTCACCTTAGCTGTTTTGATAGGCATGTAGTAAAATTTCATTGTGGTTTTAATTTGCATTTCTCTAATGATTGTTAGATATTAAACCCATCTTACATTTTATTTGCAATATGTTTACCTGCATTAGTGAAATGTCTGTGCATGATATTTGCTGATTTTCTTTTCTCTTTCTTTCCTTTTCTTTCTTTCTTTCTTTCTTTCTTTCTTTCTTTCTTTCTTTCTTGTTTTTTGTTTGTTTGTTTTCATGACAAGGTCTCGCCATGCTGTGTAGGTTGGACTTGAACTTGCTTATGTAGCCCAAACTGGCCTCAAACTCACGGTGATCCTCCTGCCTTACTCCTCCATGTGTTGAGATTACAGGTGTGAGCCACCATGCCCGGCTGATTTTTGCTAATCAGATTGTCTTTGTAATGTCCAGTTTTGAGAAGGAAAAGGGGTAAAAAAACAATCGAGATGTATTAGGTACAAATACCAACTCTCCACAAGAATGTAATCAATATGTACTGAAAACATGTAGTAATAAAAAATATTGAAAAAATACTCACTTTTGAGATTTCTGTGTTTTAGAATTACTGTAGCAACATAATAAGTCTTACAATTAGGTTCAATGACTGCTGGAAACTGATCTTTCATAAATTGCTGGTGGGAGTATAAAAAGGTAGTGCCATTCTGGAAAGTAATTTGTTTAAACGTATGAACCTATTTAATTATGAATTTATAGTTAATCCAGCACAATTAAAAATACTATCAATACTAGGAAGTGCTTTTGCAGCTTTCTAAAGAATTGGTTGTAGTCTCTATCCCCCCACCCCGCATGACTGAGCTGCCTCAGGACTGCCACCATGGGCCCATCCCTAGGCCAGGCACCCCGGGCCACCCTCTGACTGCGGCCTCAGGCCAGCCACTTGGCCAGGCACA